CATCGAGATTTGATATGCAAATATGATCGAAGGAGAAAAGATGAAAATAACCCTTGTAAGTAGACAGAAAAAATGCAATCCCTATAGTGGTTTGAATGTAAAGATTTGTTACTTTCTATTCAGTTATTATTAATTTTTTCCAAATAGATACGTTGCTTGTTAAAAAACAAAAAAATGCCCTTGCTTGTCATTTGCCTCTAGCATTGTGGTTTGTAAATGCGTAGACTTGTTATTTTCAATATTATTGACAGTTAAAAAAATAATGACTACTTGCTTTTCTTCGTATAGTTACTTGTTAAAATAATTTACTCGTCTGTCGGTTTCTTTTAACGTGAAATGTCATATGGTTTCTTTAAATTAATGGAAAATTTCATTCTTATCTTTGTGTAAGTTTTCTCTCCCTCTCTAGATTCTTCTTGGGCAGTGAGAGCTTTTCTCTGGTCTCAACATGAGCGGTGTCCCCTTTTCCAATTCCGACTTTGAATATTTTTGAGAAAATCACGATTTTGAGTTCCTAATATATTTTAGCATGTAATAAGGATATTTAGATATTTTTTAAAAAAATTATGATTTTGTAATAAGGATGTTTAAATATTTTTAAAAAATTATGATTTTGATAAGTTTGTAATTAATTTTGGCATGTGATGGTATTTTTGGATACCATGATCTTATCTAATTTTCAGTTATGTTTTTCAATTATATTTAAAATCAATTTTATGACTAAGTTTTTTAAATCAATTGTACCAAGCAGCATGATCAGATATATTCAAAATTAGTCACACTAATCAAATTTTTCACAATTAATTTTATCCAATAAATATCCAAACACACCCCTACTCTGGATTGAGGACATTGGCATGTCGTTGGACACATGCCTACTTGGAGTAGGATTAATTAAACTCCTTATCAAGCTTAGGCTTGCGCTTTTATTCCAAAAATAAAAAATAAAAGAAGAATAGGATTAAATTAAACTTTTTTTAATTGAATCTAAATATTTATCTACTTCAAAAGGGTTTTCTCGGTAAAGATAAGGAAGATATCTGTTTATAATTCTCATCTAAATTTCTAAGTCTCGGGATTTAAATATCTTTTAGAGAAAAAAATTAATTATTTATTAATTTTGGATATACTATAATCAACTTATTTTAAACCCTGAAAAAAAATCTCCAAATTAAGTTATAAGATATAATATATCAGATGTTAGTTTTTTTACTAACTATTTTTTATTGTATTTTAAACATATATACTTTTCAAATTTTCCTATAGTTAATCCAAGTAAAATATAAAGTTTATCTTAGAAGTTAAGATAACATATTCCATCCAAAACTTAAATAAGCAATCTGATTTCTAAATTAAAATAAGAAAAAAACCCCTTAGTTTCCTAATCCAAATTAAACTCAGTACCTTCCTCTCCCTCTTTTTTATATATATTCTCTTATAATCAAATTCTCAACACCACAATTAATCGGAGATTTCTCATAATAATCTCTTATATTTGTGTAATAACCATGAAGAATCAACGCTCCTCCAAAAGTCCTTTATTTGATCTCTTATCCGACGATTTCTTCGTCAATGAAATCCTCTCTCGTGTTGATACTTTAAAATCCGTCATTCGTTTAAGCGTGACATCCAAAAGATTTCTTACTCTATGTTCTTACTCTCCAATTCTTGACTTCGAACAAAATGTTCCAAACGATGTCGGATTTATCAAGTTTGTCGATAAGTTCTTAGAGTTTCGCAAGAATTCAAACACCACATGCGAGTTTCGTAGGCTTCGCTTGATCATGAAAGAACATTTACTATATGTTCCAGTATCTGACTTCATTTCATCACATCTTCTTCAATGGTTTGAAAAGGCCTTGCATTTGAATGTTCAAGAGCTGATTTTAGAGTTTCATCCTGATACAAAATTTTTTTACTACTATCAGATGCCTTCATTGATGATTCCCCATTATGGCTCTTTGAAGCATCTTAGGGTTTTAACTCTTGATGATATCCCTGTTTGGTTGGACCAAAGTTTTGGAAAATGGGTTTCAACTTGCTGTGAGAGATTAGAAGAACTGAATCTCACTGGTGTGTTTGTGTTTCCCTCAACAATACTCAGAATAATAAGCTCGTCTCTTAGGGTTTTCACCATTGATGCTCATTTTATGCACCTTCAAGTTTTAGCACCAAAACTCATAACCTTGCATGTGACGTGGAATCTTCTTTATCTTGAGACAACGACGACAGCACAACATGAACCAGAAGATCATGATGTGTCTCTTGGGGTTTCGTATATGCCAAATCTTGAAGATTTCTTGCTAGTTCATTGGAGCACAACAAATATTCCTTTGAAATATTATTCTTTATCTGGGGGTGATGATAATGATAAAAGCAATTTTCCTTCTCTTAAATCTGCGACCGTGACACTTCATGAAATCGCTAATTTTTCTTTGAAACATTCATTGGAAAGGCTTGTTCTTGATCTTACCCATACCAGAAAACTGTGTGTATCTGATGCAATTCTTCACGAGGTATGTATGTATGTATGTATAGACTGTTATTGTACTTTTATATATGTATGTGTGTGAATTATGTGATGTTTTCATACATGTGTGTGTGTGTATAGCATTTTGGCTTGTGTGTCTATGATAGATAAGTACAATTTTATTATGCAATATCTATGCGAAATGTCATACGTACTGTTAAGTCTATAGATATAATTAAGTAAGATGTGTGATAATTTCCCGCATTCAATTCTATTAAAAAAGTGTTTTAAATATTTTTCATGTGTTTGAAGAAAAACGGTTATGTTCTTTTATTTGTTAAAAGCATCCCAACTTTACAATTATACTCGTATTAATTAAAGAAATCGTGTTGTTATTTATGCAAATATTTTTTTCAAGCTAAATACATGGTAAAACTGGACTTTTTCGGTTACCTTAGTATCCCTACAGTTAACAACTGTGATATTATTAATTCTTTGAGAAATTTAAGTGCTATAAAACTAAACCTTTTTTTTTTACACCTTGTGTGTATAATTAGGATCATTTTTAGTTTTTGTAAAATATCTTATTTAATTAGAGTTGTATTTATATTAACGTGATATGAGTACAAACTTATTTTTCTTTGGGAGAAATATATGTGCAATATAACTATGCAATAAATATATGTTTTATTAGTAACATATATATATATATATATATATATGTATATTAATTATTAATTATTTTTTTTAATTTACAGATTTTACGTCATGGATTAACGCATTTAGCGACTTCATTTGACAAGTTGGAGAAATTGGATGTGGAAGTTGATTTACATGAAATTTACAGGTGGAGAGAGAAAGCTTACATAATTATGTCTTTTGTGAAAAAAGTTCGAAGTACTTTGAAGACCTTGAAATTATTTACAGTAAATAATTATTATGATCCTCAACATTATTATCCTGAAACGGTAAGTTAACACACATTTATTAGCTCACAGTATTTATTTTTTCATTATTTGCTTTTTGTAAATTGATATATGACGGTGGGCCCTTAGCTTGTATGGCTTCCTATAGATTTTTTTTTAAACATACATATATTTATGTATAAAAAGTAAAAAGTGTATGTTTGATCATTTAACTCTATATAAAATTTTAGTTTGATCTCTTAATTTAATTTTATTAAGTATCAGGTTTTGTCAATATTTAAATGTTCAATATCAGCATTTGTTATTGATAAAACTAATAATATCAAGGTTAAAAGATTATTAAAAAGATGCCTTATAAGAAATTTAGGGATACAATGGAAATCTTGTGTAAAGTTAAAATATCAAGGTGTAATTTTACCTATTTGAAATTTGTTAAAATTAAATAAAATATTTTTTAGAGATATTTGCATTTGACTATTTGTTCTGAGGTTAATATTGGCTTAAAAGGCCTCGATTTTTGTATAAAATTTACTAGATGTCTTTTCTATTTTTAAAAAGTCACTTATTTTTACTAAACCATGGTGCTATATATATATATATATATATTGTGTATTAATTTTGATGAAGCTACGCAAATACAAATATCTCTGTTTTTAAATGCACACCTCCTTCCTCTAAAATCAAAGGATTTGTTATTCCAGTAAAACTTGAAATATACACAGGCTTATATGATTTGATTAAATATTTTGTACCTTGCAGATGAGAAAGTTATTGGTTGAAAATATTTGGAGATTTGGGATTTCAAAAGCAGCTCTGTATTTGGATGATCGTAAAGTAAAAGTACAAGTTGGTGCTGGAGAAGATGAGACTTTGCTCATTCTGTATATTGTAAATAATTCTCCTCCAAACATGAAGTTTATCTTTACATATCCACGTTGTTAGTTTATCAAAAATAAGACAATTTTATCTTATTTTATAAATAAAAAGTTATTCATCTCCATCATCTATGCTTATTTTTGCCTTGGTCCCTATATATAATTTTTTAATAGAAAAATTAATTTATCGGTCCCCATGGCTTGCTCTCATCTCCATAGTAACCCTCTAACATCATTGACAATTAGCTTTACTCCACTCCTTGAGATCAGTTGGATAAATTAAACAATATCATTATGTTTAATCAACAATAAAATATTTAGATAAATTGCTAAACAAATATCTATGAGATTCGATAGAATTTTATGTCAACAGTCAAGAACCTAAAAAAAATTCTCCTCTTTTATCAAGGCTTAGAATTAACTATAAAACATAGGTTGAATAGTCCATAATAACCCTAAAATTTAAAAATTAATTATTGCAGTTTGCATGGAGTTGAGTTGTATACTGTTCCTAAGTTGTGGCTTTCTACAAGTGTTAGATATATAGATTAAGCTATAAAAAGTCTTTATTGCTACTGGCTTTTTTTTTTTTTAAAAAAAAATAATATAATAACTAGACTGAATCCTTGCATTATATAGAATGAGATAAACCGCATTATTCATGATGAATTATATATACACAGATATGGCTTCCTACAAATTATGAGAATTCTGACAGTAACAGAGGAATCAATATAAAAAAATACAGTAAACTATAGCATCTCAAGCACCAAACATTGGGATTCCATAAATTTTACAATACAAGCCCTGCAGATTTGTCAACCACCACTCACAAAGGCAAACCTTGAAAAAAAAAAAACCTTTGTGTTTGGTGAAGGAGAATAATGACAGAGAGAGATTCTGTCCAAGAAGCTAGGCATGAATAATGTTCCACAATAAAAAGCCATGTTTTGCTGATACACACTCATATAATACAAGCTAGGAAAACTCAAGTAATTACAGCTGAGGCAAAGGAAAAAAAAAAAAAAAAAAAGATTCTGAGGTTCATCATGACCACGAAGGCAATTGATCGTCCAGTCTAGATCTATCATTCGGCCCAGAAAGAGTGATCTGCCATTAATGAATTTACAGTTTAGCAATGCAGACCAAGAAAATATGAATAGAGAAGAACAGAACTTGGTACATGTACCATATATTGATCCCAAGTTAAAATAAACATAGTTAAATCCAAGCTCAAGCTTTCTTCAGAGCAAATTGGTAGCCAAAAATGTGAGTTAAGCTAAGGAAAAATCTATAAACTACAGTACTGAGGACATTTGTGTTGTGTATGTGTGAGTGTATAAATTAAACTTTCAAGCTTAGCTTATTAAAGCAAATAGGCTTAATATGTTGCTGAAGCTTGTTTGTATATAATGAACTACACTGAGCCAAATTTGAGCTTTCAACAAGTCAGAAAAGAATAGTTCACAAGTCTGAGCATACTTCGGAGTTGAGAAAGACATACATTGCAGTCAAATGCAAACCTCCTGGCAAGCATGAGGGCTGCATTCCTGTCACGCTCTGTTTCAAATGCTAATACGAAAGATTGCCCCTGTTTTGCTTGCCAAAATATTGCCTGGGCTGCAGCATTCCCACCTCCTCTAACACCACATAGCTAAACCAAAAATAAACAAAATCCTGTTATCCTTGCTGAATCAATTTGGTAACCAATGGCATCGACACCAAAAGGAAAATATCCAAGTCAGCATCCACTACACAAGGTTTAACTATGAACAAATAAATCATATACAGCCAGAAAGAGAGATTTGTTCAACAACGAAGGTCAAAATATTGTTTACTGTATTAACCATTCAAGTTCTGCGTCCATGTGTTATTTTCTAAATTTCAGCCAGAACATAAAAACTCCTGCTCTTATATATTTAGGTTGTCATTTTCAATCATCAATATTTGAGACAGCATTTACAACTTGAAATACCTGCATGGAACTTGCATAGTATTCTTTAGCAATCGTTGCCTTTCCTTTACATAGCTTCATCCTCATTTTCCCAACATGAAGAACATGAATGGATTCACTAGAATGAAGTGAATCATTCACATGAGTTACAACCACCTGCAAGTGGCAAAAATGATTATAGCTATAGTCATAAAATCTTACTCATTTTATTTTCACAAAGAAATGAATAGAAAGAATAACCAGAAACAATAATTTACCAAAACTAAATAATTTATTCTATATTATAATTATCAGACTTGGGCAACAAGAATGGTTCTAATTTCTAACATACATGATATGGGAAACGTATTTCAATAGTGTCAATAATTCTAACAGTCCCTGTCAAGTCAAAGCCTACTAGTACAGAGAAGTTGACGAAGTACAGACTTGCAACTAATCAACATCCCATGAAGCATGAACACTTCACACATCATTGGAAATGACGAGGATTGTGATCTTGCACAAAAAGGATGTCGGATTGTAAAATAATTGAAAATAGTTGGGCGGCATCTAAAATCATTATGTTTCATGCTTGCATGCAAATAGCCTATTATAGAAGAGAAAAGAAAATAGGTGTCATGATAACATACACTGAATTCAGTATCATGTTTACGCACAAGCGCTTCTACATAAGTTCCCAAACCAGCAGCTGCATAAGAATACAAAATCAAACTCCATTGATATGGAAACACACCTATGATCTATTTCTGTGTTATCAGTTTCATTTAGAAATGAAGAATATTTGAAACCACACCTGTTGTTGACCATTAGATCAGATAAGCATGAAAAAGTTTCAGGATTGGAAACAAACCTGGATCAATTGGACCAGTGGTTGACAATGTGATGTTCAGGCCTCCTGAAATAATATCAACTTGTAATATATGTCCAACATCAAAAGGTTCAGGGGCATAGACTGATTTTGTAGCTCCTGTAAAAGAAAAAGTTACATTAAATAACATCAGTAAAAAATTACAAAAGGAATCAACAAATTGTAACAGATTTTATAATAATTCATGTTGCAAAATTAGGCGTCTAGGAACAGTGTAATAGAATAAGCACCATGAAAAGTTGGAAACTACTAATGAAATACTTCCAAGGACGATGAAAAGCAAGCTGTGTGCTATGAACAAGAAAGTATCAGCTTTGCCAGTTGATTTGACATTCATTTTATATAAAACATAAGAAAAAACAAATGAGGATTTTGCTCTTGCAGATGGGCATACCACAAAGACAATTTTGGCTAAATGAGGGCTACCTACATCAAGAAATCACCAAGGATAAATATTTGCGCCTGCTAATAGCTCTTATCATGTTACTCAGGTAGTTAGTTGAAAAAATAGCAGGAACTGATTTAGGAAATTGTAGTTAGTCAGAGCATTAGTGCAGTGGAGCACAGAGGTTCTTCATAAATAAAAGAATTACATGGCCATACATATCAGAACTTAATTGGCATAAGCACGTTATATAGTAGCACATGAGCCTTTTTATGTCTGTGTGCATTGTTGTCTTTCTGTTGGATGTCAGAGTCTGTTGTATTATAGAAGGAAAAGTTGGGAAATGACCAACTTTCCTCGTGTTCAGGCTACTATAAGCATAAAGTAGGGGATAGATAAAGGTGTGAAGGATTCTATTCTAGCTTTTGCATTTTAGTATTTTTTAATTCCTGGTGAAGTCTTCATACCATCATGCTAAAATTCTCATTTGGGATGTGACCAATGGTTACCAAACATCCCATGCCATAAGTGGAGGGAGTCTTCAAGCAAAAGCTAACTACCTTGCATGCTTAGCATCAAAACATTATAACAGGAAAAAATGTGCTATTTTAAAACGTAAAATGTACTAAATTTTGGCAGATATACCTGAAATAAGTTCCCTTTTAGCACACTCAGATGATACACGATACCACTGAATTGAACATTTTGAAAGACCAGGGGCATTATCGGAGCAGGGTTGAATTTCTAAATATGAACCTAACACTTCAGTCCCTTCTAGTTCATACAAATGGGGATCATTTTCCCCACCCCTCTTTATCCTTCCTAGCTGGAAAGTATAATGGAGGATAAGTCAGTTGGGGTAAGTAACTTACAACAGGATAATAATGAAGCTGAAATAACAATTTTCATCATTGGATACTCCATCACACCACATAACACATTATGTAGAAATCTTGTCCGTCTCAAATATTTTCTTCAACAAAGAATGGAAGACGGGCATGTTAACAGCATGCTAAAATCGTTTCCCAAGATGATTTAAAAATTCACATATAACTATAGCAATTAAATAAAAAAGGGAACAGCCAAATCAAGGTGATTATTACAAAATAAAAAGTACAGGCAACATAACACCTCCCCCTTCTAGTGCTAGAGTCACAATACACAATGTGTTATCACCATACAGAAAATGAACTGACATGTTATCCAAAATTTTAGATCTCAAATGTGTTATATCATAGTTTCTCAACAACCCAATCAAGAAACAAGCTGTAAAACTAAATAAATATTATCCACTGTTAAGGAATGCAAATAAATACTTGAAACATAATTATACAGAGGGAGGAAAGATTATCACTAAATATAGCATACTGCTTCAGAAACCAAGGCCCTCAGTAGTTACCTAAATATCATAAAACATTCATATCACAATCTCTTCAACATGGACATAAGATTGCAATGGTACCTCTCTTTGAAGACGAATATAATGTCTAGACTTCTCTGCAAGTTGAGCCCTCAATGCTAGAAGCTCATGCTCCATATCCATAACCTAAAAGTTAACAACCAATGCATTCATTTATTTAATATAACCTGATAAAAATTAAGTTAATAATACTATATATAAAGGGCAAGAAAATAAGATGGAGGGGTGAATCCAACTTGACATGAAGAGGAACAACATTAATCACGTGTATATAATAATGGGACAATATTGATTATGTTCAAGGCAAGATAGTGGAGGGCCATCTCAAATGTGATGATTCCTTTCACTTCTCAGTACTCTCACGCATCTTCTCCGAATATTTGCAATATAGTGGTTATTACACCTTAGTGGTACTTAACAGTACCAATATGTACAACAATATAGCTATTCTAGAAAGCCAAAGAGACAAACAAATCAATGCTTCAACTTAAATACAGCTATCGAATCATAGCACCTAAGAGAACGTTGGGATTCCATGAATCAATCTTCTCCAATAAAATAAAGTAAGATTATCTGGAAGGATTATTTCTCCAACACAATTAAGGAGCCATGGAAAACATACAATATTCTTAATGGACAGAAAAGAGACTATCACAGAGGGATATATCCACATGTAAGACTAGGATTTTTAAATAAAAAAACAAAGAGTAAAACCGAAAAAGAAGATATTACTATTCAAATAAAAACAATAAACCCTGTGAAAAGTGGGACAAAGGAACAAATATTCAATACCTTGCTTGGCTGATGCAGCATTTTGATTCTTCGAGCCTCTTGAACCTCCTTCATCAATTGTTCTAGGTCCTAAAGTTGCAACAGAAATAAATTCTAATGGAAAGAAAATAACATAATTGATCCACATTAGCTGGATCCAATTAAATTTTCCACAGGAAACCATCACTTTGAAAAATACTGGAGCTTTTTCTGCACATTAAATAAATGAATGAAAGAAAGAAGAAATAAAAGGGAAACATATCTTCAAATTGTGAGAAATGTTATTCTAGAAAAAAGGTTGATTTAGGAAACAAGAGTTCTTGAAGGAAGCACTTCAAACCTTCCATTAAGATTTTGAGGTTCTACAACTTTAGGCACCCTGCTACTCTCTACCAAGCAGATATTCCATATCAAAGAACGGCATACAACCTTTAGAATTTCCCAGCTCTCTTTACCAGCTTTATGCATGTAAAACCAATGTATGATTAACTCGACCATCATTCTAACATGGCCAATACTCCCTGATGAATAATAATTTCATATTGAAGTTTCCTAGTTTCTTCATTTCCCCTTCCTCTTTAAAGGTCTAAACAGAGCATGACTCATAATTTAAGAAAGCAAATAATTGCATATATCCCACCATAAACCTGTCTTAAAGAAACAAAGTCAAACATGAACCAACAAGCCTAATTCATTCATCATCACCAAACACGTGGACATTGAAATCCTCTCACTCTAAAAATTCAAACACTATAAATAACAGGAACATGGACTAACCTGCTTCCCTGTGGCTCGAGATATTCTCTCATGTTCCTGCAGGGCCTCCTCCACCTTCTGAACTGCTGCTCTTGCATTCTCTATTTCAGCACGAGCAAAAGCCCTTTCCTCATCTACAAGTTTCTTGGCCTCTTCAGAAGCCTATAAATGAATTTAAACTCTCAGAAATGGAGAAGGACATTTGTTAATGCAGGAAAGTATATGAGATACAAACTGAAAAGTAAATATGTTTCTAATTATATCATAGCAACTAACGTATTGAATTATTAGTCTAAACTAACCTAAATAAACAGTAAAATGTAATTCCAACACCTTAAATTTCAAGGCAGGCAAAATTAATAGGCTTCAGCAAGCTTAAGGACAACTGTTACATTTCATGGTATTAAAATTAGATTAAAGGACAGAAATATGACCTAAAAAGAGGTGAAGGACGTCAATTGTGTCCAAGACACTAGTATGAATCATGGGCAATGAAAAGTATAATAAACAAAAGTCTCATTATGCCAATAGTTCAGGTAACTTTCCATTCATTTCCATGATGAGAAATACATAATGCAGAAAAAGAATGCAAAGAATGAAAACTTCCTAGTCCTGTGAAGAGAGGTAGAGAGATACAAAAAGATAACACTAAAAATAGATTGAACAGAACCTGTTGGTGAACAATATATCCAAAGATTTGGTTGTCCATAGAGCACAATGATATTACACAATCCATGTAGCCAATTACATCTAGTGAGATAAGGTTTGTTGTAGTATAATTATCTGATATCTAGATCTATCAGGCCACATTTGAGTGTCACTGGACTCAATTAGAGGTAGCTCCCCAAAGATTACTTCTTTTTTTTTTTTGTATCCACAAGGACACAAGTTTGGAACAACCAACCTAGCTTAAAGGGAATTAAGTCTTTTCACTCAATCCGACCATTGTTCACAACTTCATAGTCATGTTTAAGGGTTCTGCTAACCATATATTGGTTGCCTAGTCAAATTAAATAGCTTATTATACAAACAAATGTTAAGCAAGTGACATTGTGTTTGTAGCATCCTTATTAAGTTTGCGGGTGCAGTTGGATACCTCTTGCATTATTCTAATCGTTATTAAAATCTAAATTCCTTTTGCTTCCAAACATAATTTATTACTTTTTCACATAAATACTTGAGCGGAGAAGTTTAAATCACCTGCTTAAGAAAACTTGCCAGTTTCTTCACCTCTGACTTCTCTTGAATTAATTCCCCTTCCCTTTGAGTCAACTGAACTGCTAGAGCTTCAACCTAAAGAAGGCACACAAAAAGTTAAAGTAGGTTTGCTTAAAGAATAGATTAAACACACACACCCAAAAAAAAAAAAAGGCACCCAAAACTAACCATGGCAATAGCTTCCACTATATCATCCTTGTTTCTGCCTGCCACATGTCCTTTTAAGGATTCAAGTGCATCTCTAAGCTTTTTCAAAAGAACATGTTTTTCCAATGATGCTGCTTCTCTAAGTCTAGCCTGAATATTACAATCATATCACAACATTAGCCACAATAAAGGCGACATTTTGAAATTATGATCAGCTATTATTTGAGGAGTAAAAACATCACAAATAAAATAAAATTAGGCAAAATTTCTCACATTGGAAAAGCCCTGCCAAATGACTAGTATTATTTTGCCCCACATTGAAGAATTATAGAAACATGAAAATGATTTCAACAGCTAGTAAGAGAGTAACCTCTTCAGACAACTTAGCAGCAGCAGCCAAACCCTTTTCAAATTTACTGGCAAGATCACGAACAGATAGACGCTTCTGCTGTTCCAAAAGCTGTGCGGTCTCACGTGCAACAACCTCCTTCATGGATATCACTTTCGGGTCATCCTTCGTCTCAATGATCTGATTGTTAGCTCCGATTTTGTAACTTGGAAATCGACAAGAAGCAAACACCACGTCAGCTGAAACTGCAGGCAAAGCCCCCTTTTGCATTGTATCACCAAAGTCACGTGTAATTCTCGTCATTCTTTCAGGCTATTTACTCTGCCAATCGAAAATATTGAACATTTTATAGATGCATACAGCAAGCTAGACAATTTTGCTAGCATCCATTGTGAGAAATACTTAAACTGAACAGTATAAAACAAAGCTTACGGAACCAAAACCATAGACCACAAAATCATTACATTGCACCCATTGAGCTAACTGAAGTCAGAGAAAATACTGATAATGGATTTGAGACAATGAAAATAAACCCTAATCCTTTGTGCGTTAACTTTCAATTCTTTTTTCTAGGTTTTGGAGTGGAGACAAGCAAGAAAAAGCTATCAAAAAAGACAAAAAGGGAAGATTGAACTCACAGATAATGAGAAGATAATTTAATGGGTACTTAGGATTGAGATTCTCGGATCAAACGCAAAGGGAACTTCCAAATGGGTCATTCAACAACAGGAGTTGTGATCCGAAAATAATGCCTTCAGATTGAGAGAGAGAATGTACGAAGAAAGATGGTTTCTTTTGGTGAAGAAAAGAGAACAAGACTTGCCCTGGTCTCTGTTTGATACTGTGGCTTCACGCACTCGCTTGAAACTCGAAACTCTTGGGCGGGTCCTCAAACGTTCGGTGTTGACTATATTTGCACTTTACATTATTTTTACATTTTTAGCGATTTAAAAATCAAATTAAAGTCATCCAGTCACCAAATCCGAAATAAATGGGTCCCATTATTGACCAATTTTTTTAAAAAAACTTGTCTTTTCAACAAAAATGCATATTGATTTTTTAAATGTTGAGTAAATGATATTAAACATTGATATATTAAATTTAATCATTTAAAAATTGATGACGATTCGCACAAACAAAATTATTCCATGTAATTTTATTTATAAATCATTTTTAATATTAGCATATTTTATCATAATAAAAGAAAATTTTAAACATTATTAACTAATTCTGTCTTAAATTTTAGAGCCAGTTTATTTAAAATTAAAAAATAAATAATTTTAAAATTGTTTAGAGATTTTATAAAAAACAATTTATTTTCTAAAAATTTTGGAAAAATAAAAAATATTTTGCGTCCAGTATTTTTAAGTTGCTTGGATAAAACAATGTTCAGGTAAAAAAGCACTTTTAATTTATATAAAAAATGTTCTTGTAGTAAATTTGTAGTATTTAAATAATATTATTTAAAATAAATTATTTCAAACTACAATCCATCAAAGTGAATGTCAAAGTTTTAGGAATATTAAAACAAAAAAAAAACAAAATCTAGTATTGTATTTATCTTAATAACTGGTCTCTAATATCATTTTTTATTTCTTCTATATATCTAACATTTGTTTGTGTGGAATCTTGCCAATCATTATCATTAGAATGTCATTCTCTATCTTATAACTCATTTAGATTGTCAAAATTTTGAAGAAAATTCAAATCATTTGAGTCCATGTTTCTGACATAGTTATAGAAAGCAAAGCATGCTCATGTGATGGAAATTTGAATAGCAAGCTTGAAATTGATCATTTTTTATAATATTCTCCATCTTATCCTACAAAAACCAAAAGTTCCTTCAATGACTCTACTTAGATGAGAGCAATGAAGGTTAAATATTTTATCTTTTGATCTGAAGCGAAGAGCCATGCTAAAATATGCAAGACGATACTTTTTTATTCACATATGGCCTAAGGAAACTTTGAATGATAGATATCTTGAGTCAATGAGATAATATTTACATATATATAATTAGAAAATGTATTAAATAATATTACATAAATATTTATAAATCACTTAAATATCTGAAATTATATAATACTAACCTTTAGGAGAATAAGAGAATTGTACATGTGGTTTACCAAGGATAAAAATAAGTATTTTTAATAATTGTTTCTAATATTTAATTAGGGCAAAAAGTAAAGAAAAATAGAAAAAATAGTGAATACCCTATAAATAAGACCATACTTAATCTTCTATCTACCCTATAAATAGAATTAAAAGAGTATCATTTGAGTTTTACCAAAACAAAATTATCATTTGAGAACTAACAAAGTTAGATAACTGAGAAGATATTTTGTTTGTATATGGTTTTGAAATTTTAAGCACTTTGTTAATACAGATTAAATTTTCAGAATCAATTTGATTATTAAGACAAACTTAGGGATCAAAAGTTTCATTACAAACTTATTAAATATTAAAACATTAATATTTAAGTAAAATATTTTTAAAAAATTAACACTCCCTTCGTTTCAAATTATAAGACTTTTTTGGGATATTCAACATTTTAAAATATAAGATATTTTGATAAAAATAAAATTTTATTAATAATATTTTTGAATAATATATTTTTCATTATATTTTCTCTCTTTAATATTTTTTTATAAATAGAACATTAAATGAAAGGCGTTTTTAAAAATTTTTATTTTTGTTTTTAAAAATAAAGTTATAAAATGTATTTAATAATTTTTATTAATATGTCTGATTTAATTTAAAAGTATTTTACAATTTAAAATGGAATAGGTATTTCTTAATTGTCTTTTGGTGTTGCTGCGTGATCCAATGGTTGTTAATAAGTCAAAATGACATTTTAGTCTTTTAAATTAATAAAGAAATGACATCAATCACTTGGCATTTATCTATAATTGATAAAATTTGAGGACTTAATTTGTGTTAATTTTTTATAGACAACCAATAGCAATATATATATATATATCTCTATCCTAAGATATTGAAAATCAATGTTATTAGAATTGAGCTAATACACTACTTCACGATTTAAAGGTTGGATTAGAGTCAGATTATTTGTAATTAAATTAATATATTTTAAATATTATATATTAAAGATTATAGTTATTAAACTGATAAACTCAAGAAAAATAATTAATAATAAAGTAATCATCAAAGTCAAAACTTACAAAATCACATCCGGCACCCAAAACCGTTAAGCAATAAAATCTTGTTTATCAACAACGAAGTAACCCTCCAATTCTCTTTATTAAATAACTTTTAGAAAAAAGGCAATAAGGTCAGGACAGAGCGTCCACCAACCACCTCTACTGAGAGACGAAGAATCGACTCTTTATTATCATAAATGGTTTAAACCCCATTGTCGCGCAGCAGAACCCAATTTGGTACAGAATGAGCCAAAGACAAACATAAACAAAGCACCGGCAAACCTTTGATGAGGCAGATGATAGTCAAAGAGGAACACCATGTGCAGAGGGACAACACATCTATAAGTGTGATGAGGAAGATGGTGGAAGAAGGTGATAAAGGCTTAGGGCTCAGCTGCAAGAGAAGTTCATGGTTAGGGTGCGATTTGCGAATGCGAGACTCCGCGCGTTTGTCTTTTTGTTCTTCTACGAATGTCCTGTCAAAAAATATTAAAAAACAACACGCACACACACACACAAACAACGTTGTAGTGTGAAATTGGGAACAAGATAAAAAAAAGAGGGAACCCCCTAGACCGCCAGTTCTTCCCGGTTCACAGGTGGTTCCGTCCCCTCTCGGTTATAACTCACTTTCAAACTTGCTACCTAATCAGTTCCTGGCTAAACCGGTCGAACCGGCTAGTTTGGTTTTAATAACATTATTGAAAACAATGAGTAAATTTTCCCAACTAAATTGTTTCATATGTTCCAACCATTTGTTTAAATGATGAAGATCTTTACCACTCCCATTGCTCTATCATTCTCTTTTCAAGCATAAATATATCAATGTAGAGAATATAATTTATAATTTTTTTTTTATTTCTCAACAACAATAACAATGGAATGACTAATGAGTATTCACCTATGCTGTCACAAAGGAAGATATATATACAAAAAACCTAATCCACAAGAACTGTCACATTCTTCAACTAGATTGCCCTCGCAACCGTTTTAACAACCACTTTTTTCTTAGTCTCTCATCTAATTTCATAAACATCAATGCCTTCTTGTCATCAAAACACAAGTATTCACAGGCTTCAATGATGAGATCATCATCAAAGTCAGGAATATTTTGTACTGTTTCAAAAACTTCATCCAGGTACGAAGTCTTGTTACTTTCAGTCAATGCATCAGCTATCCTACCGATATCAACAGCAATAACACTCATCATTTCCAGCATAGCATCACTAGAACGTCTCTTCCTTGATGGCTGTTTGGACTGTGATGATGATGAAGGCTTTGCCCTTGTCTGTTCTGAGGAGCCTTGCATTTCGTCACTCTCTTTATCATGGCTCGTCTCGTCAATAGACAGCATCGGAGCCGGAGTTTCAGCATGTTCCTCACAGTTCAGGGCAGGAACATGTTCTTCACAGCTCAGAGCAGGAATTACTTCTAGTCTCTCACAAGTTGCAGACCAATGTCCATTTGGTTGCTCATTGCCAACAATCACACCTAATTCGTTGTAATTTTCAATTCGCCTGTCTCGCAAATGCCTAGCATCTGGATGTTTCTAAAAATACAGGCCAATGATGAATCAAGAGATAGTGACTATCAAAATATCAAGCAATCAGTGCAGTAAGACCTTTTCTGAAGAATTCTCCATTATATATCATATGTATGCATGATATCATGAAAAATGGATAGAGATTTTTTATGCCTACTCAGTATCAGCAATAGCTCTGAAAAAGTATTATAAGAATGTAGTTGAAAGCAGCTGGACCACAAAGGAAAGAGGGGGGGGGGTGAGACCATAAGCAGTCTTCTAAAGGAAAAGGTATCAACTGAAAATTTATTGATGTAATCCAAATTTACTTTCAAAACTAACATTACTTAAAGGGAAGGTTGTTAATACCTTTATGTATTCTTTCCATGTTAAGTCATTTGCAACAACAATCTTACGCTCGTCATCCCACTCAAATCCACCATGAGAAAGCATTTCCTTCACACTGTAATGCTGTTTCTTCCATGTTTTCAACCTGTTTCTAACGTTTTCCTTTGTCAAATCTAGCCCAAATTTCTCATTTATAGCTGTTACGGCAGTCAAATAAGCTGAGCTCTTAAAATTCTTCTCAAGCTTATTGCCCATCACTACTTGCTTGACCAGCAGTTGTGTTAAGCAACGATCCATTTCATCTGTCCATAAAACATATTTACCTTTTTCCTTTGCACTGTCAGTTTCATGGTAAAATGCCTCTTGACCATCCATAACTTCATCATTTGTAGTCAAACCCAAGTTTGCAATTAGAGAACTATCAGGTGGATCATTGTCACCGATAATGATGGACAATTCATTGTAGTTTTTGATAGCTCGTCCTTTAAGAATCTGAGCATCTGGATTGATCTGCTTCAAAAAGGAATATTTATATAAGAACTATAGGGACATTATTATGCAATGACGAATGCCAGATACTAAGTATTTCCTGCATACCTTAATGTAATCATTCCATGCTGAGTCAGCTGCATTGACCATCTTCCTTTTCTCGTCCCACTCAAAGCCACTCTGATCTAGAAGTTCTTTCAAAATTTCATACTGCTTTGTCCATGTTTTGAGACGATTTTTTATTTGATCTTTGGTCAAATCAAGATCAAATCTTTCGTTCATGGCCAATGCAGCTGCTTCATAAGCAGCAGGCATTAATTTGTTCTCAATTTTACATTTGTTACCAAGCTTAATTTGCTCCACAAGAATTGCACTTAGATAGGCATCCATTTCGCTTGTCCACCAGATATCCCTTTCACTGGACCACCTCATATGCTTCTCTTGATCTTTAACACCATTATCAACTTGAGATGGGGAGACGCTGCTAGCCTCCAGAGGCTCCTTAGAATGGCCAAAAATAGTGCACAATTGTTCATAATTCTCAATTACTCTAGCACGAAAATTTCTGGCATCTGGATGTTTCTGGAAGAACAAGAAAAGAAAAGAAAAGAAAAGGTTATATGTTATGTTCATTCTATGCATAATGTCCATCATACAAGTGTAAAATGTATAACTAAGTGCAAAAACGTAATAGTGATACAGGAGAGATGGGATTTCACACTAAATGAGTTTTTACCTTTAATGTCAGACGTTATAATTACAGGCTTTAAATAGTTGAGCAACAATAATTTTAGCCAATCAGAAATTAAATTTTAGAGAGATGTAAGTTCATAGTTGTGTTTCTAAAAATATCAAAGCATCGCACTTTTGCTTCATTCTCCTCATTTCTAATCACATCAATTTAAACTATTGAAAACGGCATAGTAAACAATTCTGATGCAGACACACACCATCTTAATTACAAAAATACAGAATAAGAGAAACCATCCTTATTTCTTGTTGTATTTAGTTTTAAGTGTGTTGAAATTTGTAACCATGGTAACTCTTTTTGAGACTACCAGTTTTTCTTTATCTGTTTGTTTAATGTTTAATTCTGTTTCAGCCCATTGTCGTCATTTTATAGCAAAAATGAAAATGCATAATCATTTCTACAGAATTAATCTTACAGGCCAAACATATTCCATATAATAATTAATACATCTTTGCTTGATAAATGATCCACGCATCAATAATGTTTTTTTTTTTTTTTTTGGGGAATGGGAAACGAGACAGAACAAGACTGACGAATTGAATCAAAGCAAAGAGTTTCTTCACAAGCTCAAAGGTTTTCAGGTCAGTTTTACAGTATAAATAATTCAACTCAATAGATCATTCAACCAATTGCACTTAACAGTGATTCCATTATGCTGTCAATTCACAATGCAAGTGTAAGAGAAAATCAATCAAAACCATAGTTTAATGTAGTCACCTAATCACCTTGGTGTTTAAATTCAGCAAAAGATGATCAATATCCACAACAATCATCTCACATCACATTACATTACGGTTCACTGAGAGAATGAAAGTCTGGAAGAATTTCTCGGAATAAAAAGACTATAATGATAATGCATGGTTTTATACTTGAGTCTGCATAAACAAATAAAAAGTGAAGAACTATTTTTAACTAGGAACCACATCTGCCTTCACATAAATCTTGCACAAGGTGTCTAGATGGCTTTCTATAAGCAGCCACTCCTCTCAAAAGCTGGAATAACCTCACTCCCAAAGAGTCAACTTTTAAATGCATTTAACAAAGTTAATAAATACTCGTACTCTGAGCTATTACTGTTTAGACAGTACACACACACACAGTAGAAACGGCAAGTTTTTCCTTTAAAAAATACATTCGTTGATGAAGTTGGGACGAAAAAGCAGCAGTTTGAATGAAAACAGGACAGAATGGCAGAAAATAAATCAGGTTTTCTATATTATTTTTCTTGGCCTCTGTAAGAATTGTTGATCAGAAAGTGCTATGAGTGACGGCAGAAGTAGAGATTGGAGGGCTTTAATGCCATCAGAAGTAAAAATGAAGGGGAGAAGGGAGTAAGGCTAAAAAATTAGCCAATTTTATCATGAGATTAAGATATATATACATTCATGTACATTTGAATTTTGACAAACATCAAGAAAAGACACCTAGTCCTCTTGGAACTTGTTTACCAAAGCATTCTGAAAATGTCAGTACATATCAAATTGCAATTTGCCACACAAAATAAAAAGTCTGTCACTTGTCACATGATATATCCTACCCAGCCCACTACACCTGAATGACCAAATACTATAGTGCTTATAAATTCCAAGACAGTGGATTCCAGCAAGAAATGATGTCGAATTTTAGCAAAACTAAATGATCCTAATGCATAAAATATTTGGCTAGGTCAAAACCATAGGCAAATTATAAATTCGCAGAAAATTCTTAGTGCATCTTGAGCTGCAATATTTCCAATGCAAGTGTCATTTAACCAATATCATAATTCCCTACTTCACAGAATAGATAATAACAACAAACTGACTCAGTCTAACATCCAGACATCATCAAACAGAAGCTGCATGCCTTCTTTTTCTTTTTTGTAGCCATCTACTTAACATGAATATGCCTCCACTCATATGCTAAAACTCATCCCCTTAGCATCTAAAGAGCATTAACAAGCTCCCTCATTTGATTTAAAGATTCTAATGAAGACTAAGATAGGATGGAATGCCTACGTCTCACATTGAGTAGTATGACATGCTCAATGGAGTATTTATGTGGGTCGATGCTCCGATCTTAATAGCTAATTTTTGGAGAAGGGCTTTGACAGAATATGTTGCATTACTGTTAATTAACCAGGAAATATTCTTTGTATCCCTTCTACTCCTGGGACGGACCAATAGATGATAACCCTACATTCATTGAAAATATTTCCTCACGAGAATTGCTCCCTCATATGTATACATATACTCATGTAATTTCTTAATTCAAAATTATCAGAAGCTATTTTTCTCATTTCCTTTTGTCATGGTATCACAAGTCATTTTGCATTAACACCCCATGGCAAAACAAGGGGGCTGAAAGGAAAAATTGTAATCTCCTTGCCAACATGAGAGCTTTGTTGCTTCAAAAAAATGTCTTAAACAAAGTTGGAGGAAGTTGTTTTAATTGCAACTCTGTTAGTTTGAAAAAAAGAAAAAAGTTTTCATGGCAACTCATATCATTGACAGGCTTCCCACCAAAGTTCTTTATTCAAAAAATCACCAGCTTCTTTCCAAATTCAATGCATCAAATAGTCTCATTCTAAGGATATTTTGTTGTGTTGCATTTGTTCATGGACATTCTCAGAATTGGACCAAACTTGATCCTTAAGCCATCAAATGCAAGTTCATAGGATACTCTTCTACCAGAAAACAGTACAAACACTATCATCCTCTTTCCAAAAAGTACCATGTCTCAGCTAATGTTACGAACTATGTGTGAACCTTACTTTTCGTGTGTGTGTGTGTGTATTTCTTCATTGGAAATCATCAGAAACTATTTTCCTCAATTCCTTTTGTCAAGTTCCCCATCCCACTTGAGTGCTCATTAGTTGGTATTAGAGTTGGTGATCGAGCTTTCTAAAAAGGTCTATCTTTAGAGGATTCTAACTTGCAAGAAAATCAAGTGAAGTGTCATAGTATAGTTCCCAGAATGTTAACTCTCCAAGGATAGCTAATTAATAGAGAATTGGAGATCAAGTTAGTGGTGGATGCCTAAGCCCCATATTGGTTATTATGGGATGCTCAATGGGGTATTTAAATGGGTTAGTACTCCTAACTCAATAAATAGCTTCTAGGGAAGGGTTCCCCACTTGAGTAACCATCACTATCTCATTTTCTTCATTTTGAAATTCTCTGACACTCATCATTTCACCTCCTATACTAAAAATATCAGTGACTTGGGAGTCAAAATGTGAAACCCTTTTTACTAACTCATACATAAGATCCCTACTAGGGCCAAAAAAATTTTACAAGCTTTAGTCTACAGGAGTTAGAGTGTTAACCATACCTTATGCTGCCTAGTATACATATGCATAGGAACACGCACATCAAATTATATACACTTCTACCCTTTATATAGAACACACACACACACACACACACACACACTCTCTCTACCCTTGATCTCTAGTAACTGAGCACCATTAGCTGTTTTGCAAGAACAACCATGTAAAAATTGCATTCTGCTAATCCAATAACAAACAAATTTACTGAAGTGTTGTTATTATGATGATGAAGTCTCTTTAAAGCTATAAAATATTGACAGAGGAACTTGAAGTTGTGACTACTGTTGACTGTGAGGAACGTATTTCAGGACAGATTTATGCCTACCAATAGATTAAATTTCATTAAAATCATGGAAAGACATAAAATAATACACACAAGTAATCCTCCTGGATAGATATTTTAAGCTACCTAATGCAACCAAAAAAAAAAAAAAAGCACAAGTCTCCAAATTAGAAGTTAAATGGCTGACATTTGAGGAAAGAAATCCAGCCAAGACATGTAAAAAGATACGGCTGGATCCAACCAAAAAGGAAAAAAGAAGGAAAATATACTGCTGGAATCCCTGCAATGAACCACAAGTCAAATTATTGACCTAAACTTCAAAAAGGATGATCATTGGGAAAACTTAAAATTTAAACATGAACATGAGAGACTAAGAAACCTCTACTATAAAAAAAAAACTGAAGCTATTCATAATCTCCTACACCTTGATAGATAGTTAAAGTGACAAATTCGAGAAAATGTATTAGAGAACGTCTATAGGCATCCTCATCATTTGTTTTCGTAAGAGAATGAAATTCCTCAGAATTACACAAACCAGCAATACAACAACAACAGGCATTATCCCACTAGATGGGATTGGCTATATAGATTGCATGATACCATCGTGCTCTATCACAAACCAGATATTAGAGTACAAAAACTATGCACAGGAACAACAGCAGCAGTGCAAACTTAATGATGCTAAGAAATTAGAAAAGGTTGCAATTGCATTCTATTGCAATAAGAGAAAATATGTTTTATCAGTTCACATTCTTATAATATTCTATATGAAGTAACCTGATTCATATCCACTGTTTCTTTTTTTCAAATGTACAACATATCTCCATCTTCATTAAAAAGCAGCTAATTATCACAAAAGTAAAACTGAAAACTAGTCTTATTTGATTTAGAAATGTCTAAACAAAAATTATCCCAGACTGCAAAATTAAAAGTCAGAATAATTTAAACTTCTAACATAAGTAAGAATTTCTCAAATGTAAAATAATAATAATAATAATAATAATAATAAAATACAGGTAATTATTTTCTCATTAGATACTGAAACAGTAGAAACATCGAATTTCTTAGTCCATGGTGTTTCTTCATGTTTTGTCATATGGGGCAGGGGACAAGTGTACCATTTGACATACCAAATGGGCTCCTTTAAAGAAGAAATTATTGCTACATCCATGAAGGATAGAACAAAATGATCAGCAAAAATTCCAGAATTTTTTATTGAATGTTTATGTCCTTTGATGAACAGAAAAAAATCAAAAAGTTGGGAATTAATGTTCATAGCAATACAAGCGATGACAGCGCCAGCACATACTTTAAAATTCAGGAGTTAAGTTTTGAATTTAGAACAGGAATCCATTAATAATAATAATTACTACTTATTCAACTTTTTGTTCCATTTTTTGCTTTTTCAAGATCTTTCTCCATCAGGGGGAAAAAATCTAAAAGAAGTTTGAAATAAAATTTAGCAAATGTTGTGCGTAAGAAGATTGCCACAAAGGACAACAATTGCTCTTAAATGATATCATAACTCACAACACACCTTGATATAGTGGTTCCATGTAGAATCATTTGCAGAAATCATCTTCCTCGTTTGATCCCACTCAAACCCATTATGAGATAGCAGTTGCTTAATTAGTCCATACTGTTTCTTCAAAGTTTTAAGGCGATTTTTAATGTGGTCTTTCGTTATATGAGGCCCAAACTTGGTACTTATGGCTGAAACAGCTACCTCATATGCTTCTGTCTGCAAGGTTTTATCCACTTTATTCCCTTTATTCACTTGGCCCACGAGAATCTTGCCAAGGAAATCATCCATTTCTTCAGTCCACCTTACTTTTTCCGGCTTGTTTCCAACATTTCTGATTTCAGAGCCAGTAGCAGGATCTGAATCCCTTCTATCAATAGTCAAGTCTACATTAATTTCTGCAGCATTGTCAGAGCAGCTTGCTATTGCTTGATCATTGCCAATGATAAGACATAATTCATCATAATTCTCTATGAGCTTTGCTCGAAACATTCGAGCATCTGGATTTTCCTGTAGGTACCATATAAAAGAATTAAAAAAATCAACATAAAATGCAATATAAAGAAGCGCATATTGTATCATACAGAATGAGATTACCCTGATGTAGTCATTCCACACAGAATTTTCGGCAACAACCATCTTTTGTGCATTATCCCACTCAAACCCTCTATGAGCAAGGAGTTTCTTCAAAATTCCAAACTGCTTCCTCCATGTTTTCAGCCGATTTTTAACATGGTCTTTGGTTAAATCAAGATGGAGTTTTTCATTTAATTCTTTCACAGAAGCTGTAAATGCCACAGGCTTCAAGACATTATCTACTTTGTTCCCCTTTCTCACTTGCTCAGCTAGTATCTTGGTGAGGCAATTATCCATTTCAGTTGTCCAAATTACATGCTTTACTTTCTCTTTAGCATCAGAGCTGCGAATCTGGTATGTGATCTGATGCATTCCTGAAAATCCATAAACATGAAATGATACTTTTGCTTCTAATTCATAAAGAATTTGTCTACGTAATATGAAGACCATGACAACTTTCTGAACAGGCCCTTAAAGCTATACAATACCCTACTCTATAGAAGGAAAAGAGAAAATAACATTGTTTGAACCCAGAGTTACACAAACAGATACACATAACCTGTGTATTTGAATAAGAAGGGATTCTTAGAATCTTGTTTTCCAAAGCCCTCTTTATATGCAAGTAAATAGTTGTAATTGGAAACCCAAGAGTCTTAACTCAAGTAACATTTCCCTTGGAAATAAGTGACAAGGGTCTTAACAAAGTGAGATAATATGATGCGGGTCCACTAAACCATCTAATTTATGGGGGATATCATTTATGACTCCATTATCTTTGAAATCCATGGGAAGCTTAAGATTCTTTGGGCATCAACCTTCATTTTCATGAGTTAAACTTCAGCTACATGGAAATGGAATCTTTCAACTAATGCAAAAGATAGGTCATACTCAAGAAAAGCCATGGACCATGGTTACATTTAGCTAAGCATACATTAAATAGTTTGTGATGTCACGTTACTTCAATTCTATACAAATTACACTAATCGAGAATGTAGTCCATCATATATCTGAGTAAAACAATGCAAATCATAGGTTTCAATTTTCAAATCAAGCCCCAAGCGAATGAGGATTTGATTTTTAGAACATACATGTAAATATAAATCAAATCCAAACATATATTTTAGAGAAAAAGAAGATTAACTTTATCTGTTCATCAGTAATTGAGAATTTGCAAAATATAGTAACTCAAGTGAAAACCAACAATTGCCCCTCGCACCTAACGTCAATCAAGATTAGACTTTAACAGTTAGATGCAGATAAATCCATTTGATCTTAAGATGATGCCAGAAGTTCAAGCACATCAGCTACACAGTGCCAAAATGCACACTGATACAGACAAGCAGACAAAAAGCATATGATGACCTAAAGGAACAGAAGCTCAAATTGCAAGAACAAATAGGAAACGCATGCCTTCTTTCTCTGTTTCTTTCCTTTCTCTTAGGTTTAACGGTCCTTTTCCTTTCTGGTTCAAATAAAAAAACTATGGGTTGACAGAGTGTGTGTGTATGAAAAAACATGCTTTCTTTCTCTTTTTTGATGCAAAACCCAATATAAAGATAAAGATGTTTCATTTTCTTATGTTTAGCGGTCTTTTTCCTTGTGGTTCAAACTAAGCAAATATGAGATGAGAGTGCGTCAAAAACCAAAAACAACAACAGCAACAACAACTATGAGTTGAACCTGATAACCTGAACAACTCATTTACCCTCACATACTCTCTGAAACACAAGGAACTGGGTTAAGTACGAAATCAGTTAGAGGAACGATATCGGAAGCTAGAGAATGAAGAAGAAACAATTCGAAAATAATTTACCCAACAGAGAAATTAACTGAAACCCACTGTCCTCCCAGATCATAGAACTCAACAACATTCTTCATGGTGCTATAAGCAATTACACAAATTGAGCTTCGTGAATATATGCTCCCGTTCTTTCTGACATTTTCTTCGGACCCAACAGTGAAATTAGCCAATGCGGGAAAAAAAAAAAAAAACAAGCAATCAAGAATAAAATCAGAAACCTGCCGAAAGAATCACACAGCAGGTCGTGAAGAGAATTAATGAGTACGAAGAGAGAATCACCGGCCACGGTGGAAGAGAATCGCTGGGGATTACAGTTATATTGCGGCGAGGCTTCTTACTGGTGATGCCCCGCGGGCCTCGACGGAGCTGCTTTTCGCTAATGACATTGAAACCAGCTTACTCGCAGAAGCCCCGGCGACGCTAAAAAATTAATATAAAATATAAATAGTAAATAAGTAAATAAGTCGATGAACTAAAATTATGAACAAGAGTGAAGGATATTATTAATTATTATTATTATAAATTCCTCGCGTGAGTATAAATCATTGATTTTTTTGGGTAAAGCTTTTAGGTAAAAAAAGCCCTCAACCTAGCCCTTCTTTTGGTTGCCAAAATTAACCTACCACATCTAAAACCTATAAAATGCAGTTTGATTGGTTGGCATATTAAGAATGGTAATCACAGCAAAAAATGATTTTTAATATGATGGAATAATTATGTTTAATATATCAGTTAAAAAATTATTTTTAATATATTCTATTTTATTTTTGACCTAGTTAGATGAAATGGAAATACAATCATAAGACTTCAATATTACAAGAATATTTTAAAATGAAGTATTATTATTAATGTTTGAGTTATTTAGAAAATATTTTTAATCTAGAGAAAGTATTCTTTGGTAAAAATATATACATATGTAGAGAAAGTATTGAACTTTTTAGTTACTTTAATGTGCAAAAACATAATATTTGCTAAGGATGGTAAACCTCGAGCTTCAAGACCTCTCCTTAACAATCTGCCTTGGAAAAGAGGCTTTTTCATTTTTTCCCTCACTTTTTCAATCCTCACCGTTCATATCATTTTATTAAATAATTTTTTTAAATTATAAAATAATTAATTAAGGGTGAGATTAGAGAACTGAAGAGAAAATGATAGGAAAAAATGGAGAGGCTCCTGGCTCTAGCAAGCCTTCTGTTTTCAAAGCTCATTATTATTATTACAAGGCCTCAGAAAAATAACTCTGCAAAAGTTACAAAAATTAGGTTATATTAGAATCTTAAAGGATTTTGCATCTTATAAGTAGTTTATTAACCCTTCATTTGGATAGGAATAAAAGTTGAGAGGAAAGAAAATGGAGAGAAGAGAAAATCAAAAGAAAATATTGTCTCTCATTTTGTTTGAATGAATAGAATAAAATAGGGGTACAAGAAAATGAGCAAATAGTATAATGACAATAATATCTTTATAAGAAAATATATCATGTCTCACATACTTATTTTTATATAAATAAATTAAAGGAAAAGATTATATTAAAATTGAATTTATCAAAATAATTTAAAATCAATTTATTTATTAAAGATATTTTTTATTTTATTATATTTTAAAACCAAATAATTCATTTAAAATATATTATTTATCTATTTAAAATATTAAAAGAGGATAATTAATTAAAATTAAATATATTCAATCTATACATATCTGAGAGGGAGGTGAGATCATGGCAAAGTCAGAAAAGAAAAAAAATGAAGAGATCAGGGGTAGAGGCGAAGAGCTGGTTCTATGTGAAATATGGAAGAAAAAGCTGAAGACAGGAGAATTTCATCTCAAAATCTCTCCATATAGAGAGAAAATATAGTTAGTCCCACTTATCCTTTTCTTCCTACTTTTTTTCCTCATCCAAATAGAAAAAAGCTCATTTTCTTCCTTATTTTCCTCCCATTTTTTCCTAACCAAACAAAGCATAAATATATTTTCAATGCTTCGATCTTGGGCTAGTGGTGGTTTTTTTATATTAAAGATAAAAATGTCTTGAAACATTTTCTTCAAGATAGCTAATATCTTGAACTTTTATTTGAAGTAATTTTATCTAGAAACTTTTAGAAAATGAGCAATTTTGCCTTACATTAAGATTGATTATTTGTTGACTTTGTATTTGACTTTTACTCTCTTGTGATAGCTATGTGGCATTTTAAAAAAAAAATTTAAAAAAAGTAGGTGTAGTTTCTTTTTTCTCTTCTATATCATCAACTACGGTGTTCCACTTCTTCCACCTCCATTTCCTCTCCCTCTGACCAGCCCTATCACCTTACACATTATCAAAAAACGATGACCAACTTTAAGCGTAGACCTTAAAATCAAAGTGATCCAAGAACTCAAAACAAAATTTGTAGACACTAGCATTGTTTCAACCCAAGAACCACAAATTTAACCAAAGTGATCCAAAAACCCATATTAGCCAAAAAGCAATGCACTGATAGAAGAGATCAAACTTGTCAATTCAATCAATGAATAGTACAACTAATTAAGCAATAGCACACCACAATAAATGAAATCAACAAATTAGATAAGATATGATCATCAAGTTTGGGTATGCTCCAGTAATTTCTTTGCAATTTCGGTGAAGATGAGAAGGTTGAGATTGAGTTCCTTCTCCTTCATCTTCTCCAGCCTTTTGAACCAACCAAGTGAAAGGCAAGAATGAGGTTGTGTTGGGTGAAGAGAATAGAGTGACAACCATAGTCTAAGGAGAAATCAAAAGTAGAAACCAAAGCAAAAATCAAAGCAAAATTTCACAAGCAAAAACATGAGCAAAAATTAGAGTAGAAATTTCACATGGGTGTGGGATTCAAATTAACAAGAAATCAAAGCAAAACTTGAACCTTAAATTGGGTTTCTAGAAAGATGGAATCGACTTTGCCATGTTCATCCAGCTTCTTAGAGGAGAGTGTGTGCCTTTCATCTTCAATTGGAAAGCTTTGGCAGAGAATTTTTGGCGTCATCGTATTGGGGATCATGAAAGGTGGTGACTGGGCTATTAGAAGCCCTATTTTCATCTACGACCCTGACACTTAAAACCCTCAATGTCTCTGAAGACTGTGATAGAGTTGATTGACAAATGAACGACAACAGCAAGCAAGGATTGTGGCCGTTGAGGATATCATGCTAGCAAAATTAGAAGCGGCTAAGCTTTTGATCGATCGAGTGAACAATCATGGTGAGTGACAATGAGAATGAGAAGAGTAAAGGAGAGGAGAAGGAAGATGAAGATGAGGGATTGGGTTGAGCAAGGAAGAAGGTGGAAAAATGAAAGAAGATGAACACAAGATACATGTATATGCCTTTTTATTCTTTTTTTAAAATGCCACATGGCAACAAAAAATGAAATACACAATTAACTAACAGTTAAACCTGACAGTAGGTTAAGATTGCTCTATTTTAAAAGTTTTGAAGTAAAATTGCTCTAAACAAAAGTTTAAAATATCAAACGCTGCTAGAGAAAAGGTTATAAGGCATTTTTTTTCCTTAACATTATACATAATGTACAATACATTCTTTAATGTTTAATTTTTTTGCTTTCTTAAATTAAAATTAATTTTTTTATACTCCTTTATCCATACTTTCAATTTATTAATAACATAGATAAAACGTTATACTACATCCATTTCCAAACTATTGTTGAAACAATTATATTTTTTATCTTATTATAATTTTATGTTTTATGTGTTGCTTATTTATAGTTTTCATAAATTTGACATTTATATAGTAATCTAATAAAACATAAAATTATTTTTATGGGAAATTATTAATTAATATTTTCCTCAATTACATATTTTGCCTTGACGGCTAACTAATTTTCTTTTGGTGTGCCTGCCATGGGAAAGTTTGAGATGGACTTCAACACATTCTTGAATTTTGAATTTAACATTAAGGAATGAAAGCATAAATGGATTAATTTTATAAACCAAACATACTAGTAAATATAATGCATATTCTCTCGCTGGTTGCGGTAACGTGACTTGTGACCGACCATAAGGGTGAATTCAGAGGTGGATTTATGTATGAATTCAGAGGTGGATTTATGTATGAAAACGACGGAGATCCTTTATCTACCAAACTTTATGGTGCTTCAAGATGGCATGGGATCTTGGCTTTTAAAAACTCATCCTTTAATGGGACATTGTCTCTCATTAATCACAATTACTTTGAAAACCATTTCTTATTGGACACTATAAAAATATAAAAAATTTCATTACGAGAGATTAGGTGGTTATCTTTGATCATATTTATAAAGAAGAAAGTAGATGTGCAGATTTCCTTTAGCTCACTAGACAATACGAATCAACTTTGATATTGCAATCTTCAAGAACCCCTACAAGATGTAAAAGCCTCTTATTTTTAGACATGATTAAATCTTAGTATTTTGGTATTCCGTGGCCATGTAACCCAAAAAAAGCTCATCCGGGCAATTCTACTAAGGCTATTGTAGCTATTATCGATGATGTGACAACTACCGACCAAGATCATGAAGTTGTTTCTGAGATCAAGTCCTTACTGACTCGTGATTGGGTGGTTACTATTTAGAAGATATCACGAGGCGCTAAGGCTGTCGATATTCTCGCAAAGCCGGCACTTTCATGTGTCATTGGGTGGTTATTGCTTTGTAGGTTTTTTTTTTTAATGTTTTTCCTTGGCATTAAAAAAAAAAAAGAATGCATATTCCCCCATTTGGACTCTACACTCTTCATCCCCTCGACTTAATGGGGAGTATCCTAATAAAATTTGGTCCATCTAATAAGGATTTAATTCATATTATATAATATTGTGAATTTAAATTTTGTTATTGATGTGAAAACTTTATTAATAAATGATTTTTAACCGCCACATATAAATACTTTTTTAAGCTTGAAAGCGAGAGTGTTAATCCTTGTGGGTATGTAAGACCTAACTCACTCAAAACATTTTTAAGGGAAAAAAACTACAATAAAAAATTGATCGTACTACATACTATTCCACTTCTCTTCACTAGCCCTTCTGTTTTTTGGTATGACTCTTCAGCCTTCACTAGCCCTTTTGTTCATTCCAACTTCCCTAACTTTAAAACGAGGTCGTTTGGGTGGAACCAAAGGGAAACCGGACAATACTTTCAAGTGCATCAAGTGGAGTCTACTGTTGAATAAATCTCAAAGGCTGTATATATTTTCTCCTCTCACACTACTTAATTAACTAGCCCACCATCGAGTTTTATCCTCCTTGAACAGCAAACGATAAGGATTTAAGTTTTCTTTTGAAAACGTTAATATGTAAGTTCTTTTAGGTTTTTTTTTTACAATTTTGAACCATGTCCTTTTAATTGATTTTATTTTAATCAAATCATTATAGTTTGATTAATTCTAGATTATAAGAACTTAA